TAATCCACAGCACAAGTAGTAGTAGTAGTAGAAGTAGAAGCAGTAGGAGTAGTAGAAGTAGTAGTAGTAGTAGAAGTAGTGGTAGTAGAACTAGTAGTAGTAGTAGTAGAAGCAGTAGCAGTAGTAGTAGTAGTAATAGTAGTGGTAGAAGTAGTAGTAGTAGTAGTAGCAGTAGTAATTGTAGTAGTAGCAGTAGCAGTAGCAGTAGCAGTAGTAGTAGCAGTAGCAGTAGCAGTAGAAGTAGCAGTAGTAGTAGTAGTAGCAGTAGTAGTAGTAGTAGCAATAGTAATTGTAGTAGTAGCAGTAGTAGTAGCAGTAGTAGTAGCAGTCGCAGTAGCAGCAGTAGTAGCAGTAGCAGTAGTAGTAGTAGCAGTAGCAGTAGTAGTAGCAGTAGTAGTAGCAGCAGTAGTAGCAGTAGCAGTAGTAGTAGTAGCAGTAGCAGTAGTAGCAGTAGCAGTAGTAGTAGCAGTAGCAGTAGTAGTAGCAGTAGTAGTAGCAGTAGTAGTAGCAGTAGCAATAGCAGCTTGTTTCTTTGGTCATTAGAACATTAGATCTTAGGTCACATGTTTTCAAGATCTTACAATACGATATAAAAAAAAAAGAAAATTGTGTATAAACATTTTAGAGCTAAATAACTCCCTATTGGCCACAAAACATGTCGGCCGAGTTCTCTTTGTTTCCCCAAACTCTTTTTATCCATCACTATTATTAATCTGAATTTCGACGACACCCAAACCAAGCTGCTATTTCCTCTTAAAAAGGTCGAGTGAGGCTACCCACACACACCCTCACAGCGCAGCCCAAAGCGCCATATAGTTCATCAAATGACTCTTTCTTCGAAGTCCGTCATAAATACAATACTTTCTATTTTAGATTTTAGACAGAATGTTGTGGTCGCATTTTCTGCTATTAAACGATCTCTCTGTGAAGGCCAACAAAACAAACCATTTATATGAAGTTTTTGGCCTAAAATTGGACCATGTCATTCAGTCCATTTAGATATTTGCTGTCTTTTTTAAATATACAGTATATTTATATTCTTACCTCATTTAAATATTCGTCCTGACACATTACATGCTAGCCAATAACGCAGGATTGCTAACAGGAAAAGGCTGCGATCCAACTGTGAATATGCAGATGTACTGTGTGACTGTGATTGCATAAAACAAAATGCTTTTTCCAGGCCCTGAGTTTTGATCTGGCTGAAGCGATGGACGAGACCAAGAAGACCCCGCTGGACCTGATCCATGACGAGAACGTGAAAGCAGGGCGGGACAAATATAAAACCTTGCGACAGATCCGCCAGGGCAACACCAAACAGCGCATCGACGAGTTTGAATCTATGTGATATGCTTTCTGTTTTCTCGGTGATTAGACTAGAAACGGCCCGCTGTGATCATAATAGACATCTAGATTAAAAAACCGTCACAAACTAGACTTAATCACGCCGAATCCAGAGCGCTTTTATGTATTTGTTAGATTTTTTTCGTCCCTCAGACAAGAAGCTATTTGATATTAACATAGTAGCAACAACTGAATTTGTGTTTGCTTAATTTCATGGCCTATAACGCATTTGTTACAATAATTATCAAGTGGTAGAATCCAGCCTGGAGCCAGAGAAGTGACATTTCTGTTTCGCAAAAAAAATTAATCTCTGGCCCTTGAACTTCCTGTAGTTTGGACCCAGACGCACAGTAGACTATTCATATTATGTAATCGCACACACTGTTACCTGCCTCAGGACAAGCAACGGAAAATAGCACCTCATCTGGCACCAAATTCAAAGAAACCGCCCCCGAATAAATAATTAGCCTGTTCGTATATGTTCTTTAACGTGTGTCTGTGCGTGAAGCTATTGTCGTGTGGAAAAAACGATGTATAATTTTTGTTTCTCCTGAAAAAATAAAAAAAATAAAAGGAACTGTTATTATTCATTCTTCATTTGTAAAGGGTAATATTAACATAATAGCCTAAATAAAATAAGACAGCGTTTTTACTCCTAGCAACGCCTTTCAGAGCGTCTTGTGATGAAGATTCTCGGCGCGAACTGACATGTTTACTTTTTGTTACTAAGTAAACTAAATGGTGTGAGAATGAATCACAATTTTGGTTAACCTATTTCACGGTGAGCCTCTGGATGATGCGTTAAAATGTGAAGTTAGTGAAGACCAGAGGTGTTCAGAGCCCGAAATCTTACTCTACTTTAATCCATCCGGCTGCACAGAAACATACTTTTATACTATTATACTATTTTCTGGGTTTGAAGCAATTGGCTGGAACAGGGCCTTTCTGAGTGGCCCTCCCCGTGTCTGTGTAGGTTTCCTCCAGGTGCTCCGGTTTCCACCTACCACTAAAAACCTGTTCAATAGGTCTGGCATGCGCCTCCTGTACTGGCAACCCCGCTCTCTGTGTGGAATCGGAGACAAATGCCCACAATTGTTTTAATGCGCTTTGTGACTCTTGTCTGTGAAAGGTGCTATATAAATAAATATTACTAACATACTTATTTCAGATTGTATCATTCATTACACAAGTTGACAGCCAAAAAATGGTCAGGGGTTTCTCAACTGATTTAGACTAATTTTGGTGTTCTGAGTCCGAATATCACATGCATTTTGCTCTATCAGGTCAACTTTTTTGAGATACAGCCATATGTTACGGATTATGTACATCTACGTTATTATGAATTCTGCTTATCAAATTTTATGGAGTAAATAAAAACTGAATGACTTTGGATACGTTGACTTTTATTTCTTGAGGAAAACGGAAAAAACTTCAAGGGTTTCTCCGCTAAAAAAATATTTCTGTAGCAAAAAATCCTGACCTGATTAAGCAAAACCAAGGTCATTTTCGGAATCAGAGCATCAAAATTAGTCTAATTCAGCTGGAAAACCCTGGACTATTTTCAAAAAATATTTTTGTGTTACCCAGTGTCATCATCATTTATTGCACTTGTAACAAATATGTGAGGATAAATAATGACTGTACCCAATATCAGGCTTGTTCACACCAATATATCACCACATTTTTCCGCATAGGGGAGTAGCTCTCTGCCTGTATCGTCCCGGGAAAGTAGCTCTCTGGGTGAAAAAGGTTGGGGACACCTGATATAGCGTAATGGTTGTAACAGGGCTGCAACAAGTGTAGCGAAGAATCACAACTAATCGATTATTGAAATAGTCAGTAATGACGTTTTTTCGGAAACTTACGCAGACTTAAACATGCTGAGGTTTTAAGTCTCAGATCATTCTATATAGACAAAACACTTAAATGTATTTTTTAATCAAACAACCCAATGTGTAAGATGTACGCTTTTCTCAAGGGCGTCCGTTTTGGTCAAATTTATAAACAAATATTCACCGACATTTCAAGAAAAGAAAAAAAACCGAATCAATTATGAAAACTTATTTACAGCATAGTGTAAACCCAATAGTGCGGGACAAAATAGGGCAATTTACAATGTTCTCCTGTGTGTACAATTCCATAGAAGAATTACCATTATAAAGTTGTACAGAAACAACTTGAGAATTGTTTAAAAAATCTGTTTACCAAGTTTTTATTTTAGCTGAAAACCCCTCAGATTCTTAGACTTATCAACCCAGCAATGAAAGGGGACTTTTCTAATGACTTGCTTTTATGTCTTAAGTAAGAGGTGCTCTGATTAATGCGGAAACAACATTAAAACACTTTGTTAATGTAAATAATTTCGTCTTTTGCATATACTTCCTACAGTATTTGCCACTTTAGGCAGAGAGCTGATTGGCTGTTGGCGGTCGTCTCTTTTCAACTGTTGCTGATCTAAAGAGGCCAAAAATAGATGCATGTCAAAACTTGTGATAGAACTAAACTCTATACTTAAAAGCTATAGGTACTAATTATATCAGTGTTATTAAATAGTTCTGTTGCTTGAGGTTTGAAAAGTTAGGCTCCCCAGCTTTAAAACAGTGGTATGACAAGTAACTAATCATGTGTGAATAACTAATGGCAGAGTTAATTTGACAAAACAGATATAACCGTTTTGATAATTGCTAAAAAAGTTGAATTCCTCGAGCTACAATCTTCAACATGTTTTGTTATTGGCAGTCCATTTGAAAGGATTTGTTCAAGAAGGGGCGACACTTATTTGCATGGCATTAAAAATAGACCTGGCTTTTAGAAGAAACTACTTGGTAAAAGGGCAAATTTCAAGCCTTTCAAATGTTTTTTTGTAATTGGCTTGTCTGTTTTTGTGTGTGTGTGCAAATGAACGATTCAAATACCCTCTCCAAGTAATCTAATACTGATGTTTTGGTCCATACTTCACTTGCAAACGTGGGAGAGAGAGCTCCATAGCGCAGGCAGACAGGCAGGGTCATGAAGTTCCTATTGGGAAGAGAAGGGCTGCGCTGTTTGGGTGTCGTGGTCAAACTAGACTTGAAATTGTGTGTCTCTTTTCCTAATGGCCACTTTCTCGCGAGAGCCTCGACTGCGTTCTGCTCAATAACGTGCAGACAACGACACACATATCCCCATTTGAGAGAACAACGCGAAAGTGAAAGTTTAGCTCCAAAACTAACGAAACAAAACCCTATCCAGCCCATGCAGCCATAGTGGGTCGTCCTTTGCCTGTGCGTATGTGTGCGTGCGTATGTGTGTTTGTGTCTGTTCCAACTTGTGCGTGCGTAACTTGTGGAGCGGGTTCATGCAGGGTGAACCAGCAGCAGCAGCAGAAGCAGCAGAAGCGGCGGCTATAGAGGCAGCAGCAGAGGCGAGCAGACACGCACGCACTCAGGACGGGAAACACACTCGGTGACACTTTGAAAAGTTGTTGTAGGCGCAGACGAGACGAGAAGTCGCACAGGATGCATACAACCCCACGTACACGACACATTGGAGCGCGCTGAGCTCTTCAAGACACATGACCGGGCTGCCGTGTGGCTGGGTAGGCGTTTTCCTTCGCTTTTTCTCTCTCCGACTAACTCGTGCCAAAAGTGACGCCGCGTTTAAAGATGGCCTTTCACATGAGCCTGTCCGATTTAGAAAACAACTCTTTGCTGCTGAGTGAGGCGGATCGCGTGGAGACAACAGGCACCTGCGCGTTACCGAGCACAGTGGAGCTCAGTAAGGCAGTCTCGGTGTCCCTGGGCTTGGATCCTGTTTCTTCTCCCCCTCTCAACGACAACAACAACAACAGCAGCAGCAACAGCGGCGGTGTTGGAGACATTGACATAGACATAGACAGCAGGGTGGCGAGCGGCGCTGCGTTCACGTACTACGAGTCAAGAAGCCCTGAAGAGGCACCAGCTATGAACCCGGACGCTGTCAGACTGCTGCACGAAGACAGCAGCCACATGAGAGAAGACGACTTTGGGGAAGTTTGCCACGGTATGCAGCAGGTGAGCTGTATGGATCTGCTGCGTGCGCCAGACGTGGACAGCAACGGCTCGCACAGCTTTACGCGCGGCCCGGTCATAACGAGATACGTGGGCAGAGACTCAAACTTGTACATGAGCCCGGTGTCAGAGCTGCCCGGGGTGAACGCTCGTCCGTCAAACGCGCTGTTGCCCGCGCTCAAGCCGTACAGCGTGGCCACGGCGAGCCCCAGTTTCTACAGGGACGCGATGGAACTGTGGCGCGCCAACGAGCACTGCGAGGGGAGCGACCCGGAGCGGACAGCCCCAGTGCAGCTTGGACAGCACGGCGCTATTAATAATAACAACAACGGGGTGTGTAAATACTGTAACTGTGTGCGTGGGGCCAGACAAGAGTGCCAATGCGCATGGTACGGTTCCAGGGGTGAGCACCAGCTCCACCACCAGCAGCAGCAGCAGCAGCTTGGAAAAGGCGACATGTGCGCGGAGTATAGCCAAGTGGAAAGTTACCAAAGTGTTGTCGCCCAAGGGCACGCAGCTTTACCCAGCATCAAAACCGAGCCAGCGATATGGGTGGATTGTACAGACCGCGGATTCAGGTAAGATAATATTGATTTTGGAAAGCTTCTAAAATGCGTGTGAGTTGAGTGTGTCTGATTGGCACTTGGAATAGCAGTGGGAAAAAGGAGTGTTCTGCTGTCAGCGTGTCTTTTCTTTCACCTGTCCCGTTTTGCCCTTTTTTCTTTCTAATGCAAGCCAAATGTCTCGCAGGATAATTGCACATTCGTTTACTGTTTGTTGAATCCAGCATGTGAGTCATTATTACAGCAAATACCTGTCTCATTATACGCAGCCTACTTCGTTAATAACTGTACTATAGTTGTTATTCCAGCTTTGGATGTCCACCTTACATGAACCCACTTTCTATTTTTTGTTTGCTTTATCTCTCCCCCCATATCCCATCAAATAGCGTCGTAACGATATGTAGGCCATTAAACCACATGTATTCTGCAAGTCTGTGTTCTGGATTCGGCCTTGGCAACGTTACGCGCAGCCAGCCAGAATAAAAGTTCAGGCTTTGCTAAACTTTGCGAAAGGGGCTGTCCTTTTGCGTCTCACTGCCCTCGATAGGAGTTAATATTTCAGTGGCCCGTTAACAGGAGATACACCACCTGCTGTAGGAGATGTGCTTGATTCCCTTAAAAAGGCTTAGGGCGCACCATAACAGCGTTTGCGTGTTCTTGGACTAGAGTAAGTTGGCTACAATAGTCTCAAAGTGAGTTGGTAATAAAGATAAATTCTGCTGTACGCTTTTTTCCCCTCATTTACATTTTTCAATAGATCCCGTTATGTCAGTTTTAATTGGGAAAAAGTGTTATGCAAATGTCATCTTATCTATAATGGTTATAGCAGTTTTATGTGCCCAAACTCTAGGTTTCACATGCCATATAGGACAGATGTAAGTAATGCTGCCAATCTGCCACTATGCACACACCAGATGCATACCAAAATAAACTATATCAATTTAAATCCAGCTTCTAATTCATATAAACAAATCATAATAATGCATAGAACTTGTGCACCACGTGGTAGTATACAATTACTGGTGAACAACTGCTGTAGGTAAAGAAGGTAAAAAAACAAAATAGCTCAACCGTTTGACCTGTGAGTATTTTGTGAAAGCGTTTTTGTGGCTAGACCTGGTTATCAAAGCGTATGCCGTTCAGATGTCAGGAGACAAGCAGTGGCCTGGATAGTACCCTTGGAAATACCAGGTGGGAAGGCTCTATGGAAACAGCCCTCAGCCCTCTGCCTTACATAACAATATTCACCCACGTTGTTTATATCGTGGATTTGTGAATATACTGTATTGTGCGTGAATATTTGGTCACAGGTAGACGTCACGGTTAGACGTCACAGTTAGACATTACAAGTATGGATTGGCAGCCGTATTCCTCTCTGTTTGCCCCAAGACAGATGTCGCTATACAGTGATAACTTACTGAACAAAATCTAGAACAAAAATACAGGAAGTTGACAGTGATTTTAGACCCTATATGAATCAATATGACTTACTATCTTCTTTAAAGTATACCAAAGATGTACATTCATCTTTCTTAAATCTCTGCTGTGACTAAACCTTCATTTTATTACAGATATATGATCAAGTTTTCGTCATTCTTTAGTATTTCATCTCAATTGACTGTTGCTTTCCCAGTCGTCAGGAGTTGTAATCATCGTGGGTTTTTCTGTTTGGTTTTTGTTAGTTTGAAATACAGTCCTAATCTTGGAATAGCAGTTAAATTTGTTAAAGAGAACAGACTTAATCTCACAGAAGGCTGATCAGCGGCGATCTTCTTAAGTAATCAGATAGGAGACATGGGGAACATTGGCAGAGATGTGGGATTCACAAGCTCTCTGGGTGGGACCAGTCCAGGCTTTACATCTGCCACCATGAAATTAACTCCAATCGTTCAACAGATAATGAAGGCTACAGTAAATAAATGGTTGTTGGGTTGAAAATACTGAGTGACTCTTTGTGAGAGTGGAGACTTGCTTATTGTTTTGATATTTTCCCTACAAGTCTGTGTAATCTAACAAATCTATGGCATCCACATAATGAAAACGGTGAAAACGTGAATACAATTAAATTCCTTATATTCACAATCATTCAGTTGATAATAAAATAGTAATCAAATATATTGTAAATTGTCTAAAACGTGCTGTCTATGTGCTCGTTCTACCTGCAAAAAACTTGGACCAAAGACACTATTTACACACGCTTTTAAACAAACACGTCACGACATACAATAGACGTTAATACTTATTACCTTTATCATTTATTCCTTCAAAAATAAATATTCTAATCATACTTATGACTCTGCCTTAATTGAGGTGTGAAGCAGAGAAGCTGTTACACTTTTTATATAAATGTTAAAAAGCTCCCAAGTCCCCCATCTATTAGAGCCATGTCTAAAACTGGGATTTTCTCGGTCTAAATCACAGATAAAGCAGGATAAAAAGTTCTATAGCGGTTTTGAATGTAGATGAATCAAGAAATGAATACATAAATAATAAGATGGCTTTAGAAAATGTATTAAATATCTGTAATTTGTCTCTGTATCTGGAGAAAGTCAGGTAATTAGAAAAGAATAGTGTGTATTCAGAACTATAAGAGCACCCATTTACAAGCTCAATTAGATTAGGTATATAGAAGTAATGAATATTTCGGCCAATTTTTATAGACCTTGAGAGCCACCTAAAGTGTGGTAGTTAGTACAAGCCTGCTATCGGGGTCAAAGAGTAACTAGGAGGACAGAATTTAGTATATTCAAAGGGAACTAAATTCTTGTGCTTCCTGCCACAATGTTTCTTCATGTAAACAAATACTGCTATACTCTGATAAAGTGCCATAGAAAAAAAAAAAAACTTTACTCTGATATTATTATGTTTTTAATTGTATTTAGACTCGATTAAGAACTCACATGCAAGCACAGGATCCATAGCAATAATGATGAAAATATATTTATATTTTTTCATTTTTCGTTTTCAGTTTAATACATGAAACTGAAGTGGAATTGTAGTTTTGCACAGCCCTGACACAAAGCCAAAAAGTCCTCTGCAAACACCAACAAAACCTGCAAACTGTAGTGCATTCTGAGACGGTAGCACTTTCTGTCTGAGCCAAAATGGTCCTCTCTCCACCTTGGATCATATTCTGATTGTAAAACATGAATCGCAACGATACAGATCTTCCGACAATAACATACTTTCCTCCAAAATTGTTCAGTTCTGTCATGCAAGTATGTTAATTGGTTCCCGTTTGTATTAGACTGTCTCCGTCTCAGCGAAGGCCACGACACGCTGCCTGACTTTATAAAGACATGTGCCACGACGGAAGACTCGTAACCGTTCTCATCAGTCCCAACTCTGAATCTGTGCTTGTTTTTTCAATTCTAATCCATGTATATTATTTCATTTTCTAAACAAATGTATGAAACTTGAAAACAAAACACAGGTGAACATTGACCTCAGTCGGTTTATAGAATGGTTCCACATCAAGATGGTAGTTTCATTGCTACTATGTATTTGTGCAGTGGAAAATTCTAAATAGGTCACTGTATTTCATAATCCACTGTGAGTGAGGGGGCTTCCATCTAGTTGCATTCGTCTTGTTTGTGGCTGTAAGTGTGCTTGACTTTTTAAGTGTATGTTAGATTTGGTTTTCAATGTTTTTTTGGTATGTATTTGTGTTGTTTTTCCTGCGGTCAAAGAGTTGGCCGTTGTGGAAAAGATGATCTCTGTGAAATGAGATTATTGTTGCAAAATAATGTAGTCCCATTTTTCCCAACCAGGGCCTTTCTGAGTGGAGTTTGCATGTTCTCCCCGTGTCTGCGTAGGTTTCCTCCGGGTACTCCGGTTTCCCCTATCACTAAAAATATGTATAATAGGATTGGCATGCGCCTCCTATTCGGCGACCCCGCTCCCATCTCAGAGAGGACAAGTGCCCAAAAATAACAATTGTAAACCGCTTTGTGACTCTGGTCTGTGAAAGGCGGTATATAAATAAAGATTACTTACTTACTTACTTACATTTTGATTCTCTAATTACACTTAGACATTGCCTCCGCCTTTTGTTGAGCTTCGCTGAGTGACAAGAAGTGCAGTAGCCTGTAAACCTGACGTGGATCTCTGACAAATGAGTGTATAAAGAACATTTTTAAAATGGGCTGTAAGCCATAATCATCTAAATGACGACAAACAAAGGCTTGGCGTTTGTTCACTTTTTGTGTAATGAGTCAATATCATATATTTGTTTGACATTTTAATTTGACCTTCAGAGATAAATCAACTTTTGAACCCTATTCTAATTTTCCAAGTGTCACCTGAATATGCACACTTTCATAAAGAAATATAAAGTTTACTTGACTTGTGATCATAGTCTTTGTCACATCGTCCGCTCTCACTCGTATGTAGGCCTCTAACAATAACCAAATAAGATGGACAGAAAATCATTGTGATAAACAATAATATGCTTCGACTACATGATGCCAGTAACGCTTTTACAATAAAGCAGGTTAATCTCAGCAATGCTTTTCCCATAAAAAAAATAAAAAATAAAACGTGCCCTGTGAAAAATCATATTGAACCAGTTAAAGTTGAAGCTCATTGTTTCACATAGAAAAGCCATTATCTCTGTACATTTGCAAACAAAATGTACAAACAATAACCGTCAAGACCCAAACTTTAATGTTTTATCCATTTGCAATTGAGCGATCAGTCAGTATAGTAATTATTGTGACAGACCTGCTTGTGTGTCTTGTGTCTGTTTCTCCTTTCTCATACATACATGCTTGAATGGGTTTCCTGTTTGTCCAGACAGATGAATAGACTCGAGTGCAGAGTAACACATTTACACTTGGCAGTACTTGTTCATTAGTGGTGTTTAATGTATGATTTATAACTCTTCATATTCACCTGTAGGGACGAGGTGTGCTCTCCCATGGACAACAGGTGCCATGTGGATTAAAATGAAGTCTTTAGATGACACCATATTTTTTACAATCGCTCTGATTAATATTTTGTGACTGTGTAGGCACGAGGACCTGTTCCCGGGCGTGTACCTCTCTGACAGGCGTGTGTGTCAGGTGTGTGGGGACGACGCGTCAGGATGTCACTATGGGGCGGTCACCTGCGGCAGCTGCAAGGTCTTCTTCAAACGTGCCGCTGCTGGTAAGATAGATCCTCACTCATTTTTCTGAGAGTCTTCCTCATGATAGCCATACTCTCCATTGTCACTTAATGGAGGATTTTCCCAGAATGATTGACATTTTGAAGGACCAATGGTCTTGATGATCCACCTGGAAGTAGAACATGCTCCTACATACCTTTAAGTCACCGTTGTCACTATTGCTCCCACCAGCCCTACTTGGCCCTCGACTCGGCACTACTCTACCTGGTTGTGTTTCCATTACACTTTACTGTCTGGTACCATATCATAGCAAACTACCCACAGCAAACCAGTTTCCGTGGAAATTCCTTGATAATCAATCATGTCTTCCAGCAGCACGGGTATTTGGAAAACTTTAGTATGGTAAGTAAGTAAGTAATCTTTATTTATATACCGCCTTTTCACTGCAGATCTGAGTCTCAAAGCGGTTTACAATTGTTAATTTTGGGCATTTGTCTCTCACTCCACACAGAGATGGGAGCGGGGTCGCCAGTACAGGAGGCGCATGCCAGAAGTATTGGACATATTTTTAGTGGTAGGGGAAACCGGAGTACCCGGAGGAAACCTTTGGACATATTTTTAGTGGTAGGGGAAACCGGAGTACCCGGAGGAAACCTACGCAGACACGGGGAGAACATGCAAACTCCACTCAGAAAGGCCCTGGTCCGACCGGGATTCGAACCCAGGACCTTCTTGCTGAGAAGCGAGAGTGCGATCCACTCAGCCACCGTGCCGCCCAAAAAAAAAAAAAAAAAAAATAAACCTGCTCTTCATTTTCTCATCGAGTCGCAGAGTATGGTTAGAACCAAGGCCAAGCCGGGACTTAAAAATTGCCTTATACCAGTGGAAACACTTCCAATTTGGGTAGAGTAGAGCCGAGTCGAGTAGGGTAGGGCCAAGTAGGACTGGTGGACACATGGCTCCCGACTGTCCTGAAATACTTGTTCGTTGATCATTAGTCAAGAAGTGCAATTATGTTTCCAAAAGTGTTTTCCTATTATTACAGACCAAAAGTGTTAGGCTGAAGTTTCATTTTGTCATACCCTACTACCAAAATCAAGTCGCACAATATGTACATAAAGCAATTACACATATGGCATTCATAGATTTTGATTTTATAGTTTAATAAGCACCTCTGTAATGACTGAAGTGTCATGAACAGCAAAATAAGTCAAAATGAATTTTCTCCACTGTGTGTTTTGGTGGTCTCTTAGAGATAGGATGTGGAACAAATCAACCAGGAGGAGCTTTGGGTAGAGATACTGCTCCCCTCTAGGCACGTGTCCTGAAGACGACCTTTGGGAAGACCCACACTCATGCACATACGCCCAAAGTTAACCATAATTTAACTGTCCGTCACTCCTACAAGAGAAAACAGAGACGGCAAGGGATGGGATAGGTCCTCTACAAACCAATTTCCAGAATTACTTTTTCGGTTTTGAGTTCCATTAAAGAATCCCCAGCTGGAGAATTACTTCGCGTCACTATTTGTGTATCAAAAGCACCTGTGTTTCCACGTCATTCAGCTGCAACAACAGCAACTCTGTCTTTTGCTTGGACGTCAATGCTCAGTGGAGCCAGAAAGCACTGCAATAAACGTTCTTACCGACTACTGGCATCTTGGGACTAGGCCATTCTTGCATAGCGACCCCTACTGATCAAGCAAGACTTCGCATTTTGTATCTGACACAACCACAGACCAGGAGACTTTAGTGGTCTCTGTGATTATGCAGATGTATTAAGACAGTTGTAGTTGTATATCTACAACAGTTGAAACTGTGATTTCCCCAATGTGGGACTGATAAAAGCATTCAATCATTCATTCAAAATCCAAAGCACTAGCTGTTTGCACACTGTCATACCCTTTTTACAACCCATAGATAAACCAGGGCCCTAGTCTTACCTTTAGCCACAGATACTCCCTGTGCAGTTTTGTCTAGAGCCAATAGAGCATAGTGGGTATAATCTCAGCTTTCACCACCACATGCTTTTGTTTAACTTTTCCTTGTTTATATAAGATGCGCATTAATCCATGAACACATAGTAAATTCCCCGATTGAGTTGGCGTCCATGCACTTGCAGATGTACTGTTCAAATACAAAAAAAAGAAAAAATGCCTGGGCATTTCCTTGGATGTGTCTTAGGAGTGGGAAGTCTGGGCGTCAACCCCGCTGCTCCTGGATAACTGAAAGAATCATGTACCCCTGAATTGTTGCCTGAGCCCGCTAAATAAATGCTACAGTAACACTAATTAGTCTTACCATGAACCCATTTTTCTGACATATTAAGTTATGTTTTTGAGCTCATAGATATGACAGAACCAATTATTGTGTACATATAGCAGGGTGATTCCCATGCATGTATGTACATGTCTGAATATTTTAGTCCCCACTTTTTGGCTAAGAGCCTCCCACACTTGGCTGTGACTGTATCATAACCTGTTACTTGACAGGACTGAATTGCCAATTCAAGAAAATACATACCTAGATATAAATCAATCCTAAAACTGGACTCACATTTGACATGTAAGAACTGGTGTAACTATTGACTCTAACATTTCCTCAAAGTCAAAGGAGATACAAATTGTCAGTCAACATTTGTGCAATATTTGAACCTCAACCGAGACACTTCCAGGCTTGTTATAACACATTTCTTCAACAGCGGAAAAAACCCATCATACTTCAATTAGAAGCGACTAGTTTTCACCAGTATCAAAAATCCTGTTGTGTATTGACCCATTTCCTTAATATTGAGTCTGAACTTTTAGCTTTTGTGACAGCACATACACACATCCATCCATCCATCCATCCATTTTCTTCCGCTTTATCCGTTGCCGGGTCGCGGGGGCAGCAGTCTAAGCAGAGACGCCCAGACTTCCCTATCCACACACACCTCCTCAAGCTCGTCCGGGGGGACCCCTAGGCGTTCCCAGGCCAGCTGAGAGACATAGTCTCTCCAGCGTGTCCTGGGTCTTCCCCGGGGCCTCCTCCCGGTGGGACGTGCCCGGAACACCTCCCCAGGAAGGCGTCCAGGAGGCATCCTGAACAGATGCCCGAGCCACCTCAACTGGTTCCTCTCGACGTGGAGAAGCAGCGGCTCTACTCCGAGCTCCTCCCGTGTGACCGAGCTCCTCACCCTATCTCTAAGGGAGCGCCCAGCCACTCTGCGGAGGAAGCTCATTTCGACCGCTTGTATCCGCGATCTCGTTCTTTCGGTCATTACCCACAGCTCATGACCATAGGTGAGGGAGGGAACGAAGATTGACCGGTAAATTGAGAGCTTTGCCTTTCGGCTCAGCTCCCTCTTTACCACAACGGTCCGATACAGAGACCGCATCACTGCGCACGCTGCACCGATCCGCCTGTCAATCTCACGCTCCATCCTCCCCTCACTCGTGAACAAGACCCCGAGATACTTGAACTCCTCCACTTGAGGAAGGACCTCTCCACCCACCTGGAGAGGGCAAGGCACCTTTTTCCGGTCAAGCACCATGGCCTCGGATTTGGAGGTGCTGATTCTCATCCCAGCCGCTTCACACTCGGCTGCAAACCGTCCCAGTGCATGTTGCAGGTCCTGGTTCGTTGGAGCCAGCAGGACGACATCATCCGCAAAAAGTAGAGATGAAATCCTGTGGTTCCCGAACCGGACCCCCTCCGGCCCCTGGCTGCGCCTAGAGATTCTGTCCATAAATACAGTGAACAGAACCGGTGACAAAGGGCAGCCTTGGCGGAGGCCAACATGCACCGGGAACAGGTCTGACTTACTGCCAGCAATGCGAACACAGCTCTGGCTCCGGTCATACAGGGACCGAACAGCCCTCAGCAGAGGACCCCGGACCCCGTACTCCCGGAGGACCCCCCAAAGGACACCCCGGGGAACGCGGTCGAACGCCTTCTCCAAATCCACAAAGCACATGTGGACAGGTTGGGCGAACTCCCATGAACCCTCGAGTATCCGATGGAGAGTATAGAGCTGGTCCAGTGTTCCGCGACCGGGACGAAAACCACACTGCTCCTCCTGAATCCGAGATTCGACCATCGGACGAAGCCTCCTCTCCAGTACCTTGGAGTAGACCTTACCGGGGAGGCTGAGGAGTGTGATCCCACGATAATTGGAACACACCCTCCGGTCCCCCTTCTTGTAGAGAGGGACCACCACCCCGGTCTGCCACTCCATTGGCACCGCCCCCGATCGCCACGCGATGTTGCAGAGACGTGTCAGCCAAGACAGTCCTACAACATCCAGAGACTTTAGATAGTCAGGACGGATCTCATCCACTCCCGGCGCCTTGCCACCATGGAGGCTGCCAACCACCTTGGTGACCTCGGCCAGGGAGATGGAAGTATCCGCCCCAACATCCTCAGCCTCTGCCTCCTGGACGGGGGACGTGACGGGGGGATTGAGGAGAACCTCGAAGTATTCCTTCCACCGCCCGACAATATCCCCAGTCGAGGTCAGCAGCCCTCCACCCGCACCATACACGGTGTTGGCAAAGAACTGCTTCCCCCTCCTGAGGCGCCGGACGGTTTGCCAGAACCTCTTCGAGGCCGACCGATAGTCATGCTCCATGGACTCTCCGAACTCCTCCCAGTCCCGGGTTTTTGCCTCTGCAACAGCCCGGGCCGCGGCACGTTTGGCCTGCCGGTACTGGACAGCTGCCTCAGGAGTCCCACGAACCATCATTGCTCGATAGGACTCCTTCTTCAGCCTGACGGCATCCCTTACTGCCGGTGTCCACCACCGGGTTCGGGGATTGCCGCCGGGACCAGCACCAGAGACCTTGCGACCACAGCTACGAGCCGCCGCATTGGCGATAGAGGAAGAGAACATGGTCCACTCGGACTCGATGTCCCCCTCCTCTGCCGGGACCTGGGAGAAGCTCTCCCGGAGGTGTGAGTTGAAAGTCCGTCTGACAGGGGGCTCAGCGAGACGTTCCCAGCAAACCCTCACTACACGCTTGGGCCTGCCAGGTCTGACCGGCCTCCTGCCCTGCCAGCGGATCCAACTCACGACCAGGTGATGATCGGTTGACAGCTCCGCCCCTCTCTTCACCCGAGTGTCCGAGACACGCGGTCGAAGGTCAGATGATACGACTACAAAGTCGATCATCGACCTCCGGCCTAGGGTGTCCTGGTGCCACGTGCACTGATGGACACCCTTGTGCTCGAACATGGTGTTCGTGATGGACAGGCCGTGACTGGCACAGAAGTCCAACAACTGAACACCGCTCGGGTTCAGATCAGGGGGGCCGCTCTTCCCGATCACCCCTCTCCAAGTGTCACTGGCATTTCCCACATGGGCGTTGAAGTCCCCCAGGAGAATAACGGAGTCCCCGGGCGGTGCACTGTCCAGTACCCCTCCCAAGGACTCCAAGAAGGCCGGGTACTCTGCACTACCGTTAGGCCCGTAGGCCGTCACAACAGTGAGAGACTTGTCCCTCACCCGGAGGCGGAGGGACGCGACCCTCTCATTCACCGGGGAGAACTCCAACACGTGGCGGCTGAGATGGGGGGCAATGAGTATGGCCACCCCAGCTCGCCGCCTCTCCCCGCGGGAAACACCAGAAAAGTGGAGCGTCCAACCCCTCTCAAGGAGTTGGGTTCCAGAGCCCAAGCTGTGTGTGGAGGTGAGGCTGACTATCTCTAGTCGGTATCGCTCAACCTCCCCCACAAGCTCGGGCTCCTTCCCCCCCAGTGAGGTGACGTTCCACGTCCCAAGAGCCAGATGTTGGGTGTGTGGACTGGGTCGTCGAGGTCTCCGCCTTCGACTGCTGCCCAGTCCTCTCTGCACCTCGCCACCACGGACCCCTCTGCAGGTGGTGAGCCCACAGGAGGGACTGCCCACGTCATCCCTTCGGGCTGAGCCCGGCCGGGCCCCGTGGGCTAAGGCCCGGCCACCAGGCGCTCGCTTGCGAGCCCCGACCCCAGGCCTGGCTCCAGGGTGGGGCCCCGGCTGCGCCATGCCGGGCGACGTCACGGTTTTTGTTGTCGTGCTGTCCATGGTTGGCTTCGGACTGCGCTTCGTCTGACTCGTCACTTGAGACCTGTCTGCCATGGGAGACCCTACCAGGGGCATGAAGCCCCAGACAGCATAGCTCCCAGGATCATCCGAGTGCTTGTGACATACACACATCCAGTCAATATTACGGCTCTGATTTAATTTATAACTCCCACTCGCCTTGCTCATGCAGACAGGACACAGTGACCTAACATTAAGAGGGTGAGCTATTTGCCATTGGTAAACACCCACATTTTGTTGCTAGGACTGAGCAAAGCCTGGGTACGGTTGCTGTTTTGGCTGTGCCGCAGACGGCTGCAAAATACATCGGAAATTTGGTGTTACTGCTCTATTGGCAAGTGCACTATCCTTAATGCTAATCAGATTATATGTTTTGTGGTTGTGTTTTAGGCCTCTGTCTGAACGTTTTCAATTTTGAGACCCATTTCATGATCAAGTCAGTTATTGAAAATGTATTATTTCACAATGAAAAAACACATTTCTGAGTTTTTTTTTTCTTAAGCCATTTATGTGCATCTTGTGTAAATTTCTCCATTGCAAGATCAAGTTTATCATATCTAATCTTAACCTATTATAAGCCTGAATGGTCCAGTGAAAAAAGAAAGCATTTTAACATTTAACAGGTAAAGAGCAAAATAAACTGTGATGTACCTAACTTCCAAATGACTAAAAGACAAAAAAAAAAGTAACAACTGCCTCTAAAATAGTTTAGCCGTTTCAATATTTTTGCACATGCTATACATACATTATTTTTATTGTTTTTCCAGAAAATTGATAAAGGGATGTCCACCCTCCTCCAGCCAATGAGCTATACTACTTTTACAAAACTCTTCCAGCTGAGACAAGCAACATGTGTTATTTCTGAAAAAATAAAGTTATGTAGCCCAGCTTTGATATTGAGTTAAACCTGGGAGACAAAGTCAGTCAGGCCAAATGTTATTCCATACTGTGGAAAATCTCAGACAACATTTCCTCACAAAAATCCCTTATTATTTAGCCCCCATCAAAATGTATAGACTACACTTTTACACTACCATAACATTTGAATTCATTACAGAAAAAAGGTCATAATGCATAAAAAAATTAGAATTTCCACATCCAAAATCTACATTCAACAGTGCAAGTTAAGGATACAATACAATATGCTTATCACAATAAAAGCCAATCACGCCCCATGACTGTTCTCCTGCTGTGATAATGTTGTCATGATATTGTGTAGTAATGTTGTGCGTCTGAATGCAGGGAAGCAGAACCACTTGTGTGCGAGCAGAAACGACTGCACCATCGACAAACTTCGGCGGAAAAACTGCGCCTCGTGCAGACTCAAGAGATGCTTCATGTCCGGGATGAGCCTGAAAGGTGAGCGCCTATCAGAATCATAACTCACTCGTTACTCCCTGCCAAAACCACAAACTGCGGAGAGTAGGTGTGAACAATGCTAACACAAGAGCTCTGTGAAGCCTAACGGTGAATAGTGAAGTGATCGTGGACAAAGTTTTGCTCTACCACTACTCACTCTGGCTCCCAGTTACTTACATTGAAAAGGGAACTCTTTTGATGAAATTATTTTTTTGTCACACTTATTTTGCACTTAAAAAAATGGTGGTTAACGCTTTGTTTGATCCAAGTGTTATTGTTTTGTTTCGATATTGTCATAGTAAATCCTGTTCTCCAGTAACTGACCAATACGTTTTTGTTTTTTTTATCATGTATTTTGTTGAGACAATTCAGACAATTTTGCAAAATACTGTATATACAAAACTCAAAGGTAAAGGGTCTGAAAAGGAATAGGCAGAAGCTTTTACCACCTAACCTCTTGTATACATTTTAAACTTAAATAGCAAATTAAAATAAGACATTTTCTCCCTGATGACAATTTTCTGCTATCAGCATTCACAATCAACATATGTTTGAATAATATTCCTCTTAAAGTTCTGCAGACTTTTAAATATGTGGCCAAATTCCTTCCAGACATGTACTCCAACCACCTTCTGTCCCCAATTTAGGCTTTAGCTTGCTTGTATAGTCATCCGTCGAAAGAGACTAGTGCTGCTCCTGATTGGCTCTTTGGTTGCTAAGTAGTTGCTAGCCACGAAATTGGCTCCAGACACCACACATGGAGCGTGTTTGAATTAGTTATAAGTTATTCTTTCAATGTTCATTCTTCCAATAATGCAGAAACAATAACCTCCAAGGATCGCCATATTCCAGGTATGTCCTAACTATGGCCCGTGGACCTAATGCGGCCCGCTGTGTCATGTTATGTGGCCCTCTGTCGCTAACACAAAGTAGCCATTGAGGTACTTTTGCAGTGTCATCCAACCAACTTCAGTTCCACCAATATAGTCATGCTATACCTCCTTATAAAGCTCTAAACCTTTTGGAATCAATTTAGTTTTTAGTTGTGTCATAAAAGTCCAAAGTCCATATACAGTATGGCACTAAAGTAGCTAGGGTGTGACTCAATAAGGGCACATCATACCACATTCTAAAACTCATTCTAATGCTCATTTTAAAGCTCAACCCGTAGCCAGTCAAAAGTGTTTTACAGTCCATGTTGTCTGCTCCTGCACTAGTCCGGTTCACTGAAGTGGCCCTCTTACTAAAACGTTTGGGCACCCCTGCTATAATCGTATACTCTCACACACCTGTTTGAATTGAGACAGTGAACCGGACATGTGTTGATGCAGCTAACAAAGATGCCTCTATTACTGCTAATGATAATCTATAGTCTACTTCGTTACTTAATTAGCCACTCCATTAGCTAACTTCAGCTAGCTTGCAGCGTCAGTGGGAAGAGACCAGTGCTGCTCCTGATTGGCCCTTTGGTTTCTATGTAGTTGCTAACCACAAATTTATCTCTAGACACCCATACATGGAGCCTGTTTCTAGTTAGCTATAAGTTATTGACAATTCTCCCAACAAAGCAGAGCAATAAGCAGTGATTAATCCTTCTTCACCTTCAAGGACTACCATAATCCTATACTCTCACACACCTGTCTTAATCGTGATTGTGAACCGGACACTGATGCAGCTAGCAAAGATGCCTCTATTACTGCTAATGATAGTTTACTTCATTAACTACTTCATCAGCTAGCTTGCAGCGTCAGTGGCAAGAGACCAGGGTCAAATTCATTCCGTCCCCAATTTAGGCTTTAGCTAGCTTGTATAGCACCAGTCGGAGGAGACCAGTGCTACTCCTGATTGGCTCTTTGGTTGCTAAGTAGTTGCTAACCAAATATTTACCTCTAAACACGTGTCTTAATTCTGATTGTGACCTGAATTTGTGTCGATGCGGTTAACGAAGACGCTTCTATTACTGCTAATGAAAGTCTGCTTCATTTGACCCACTCTGACATCTGACATGTCCTGTTGTGTCAGTTTAATCTCTTAAGTGCTTCCTAACAATGGCACTATATTTTTTTAAATCTTGAATCGTGTAATGACATAGTAGAATAGTAGTTATGCCTGTAGTACTATAGTAAAGCTAATAGCAGTAATGGCGGTTGTAGCAATAGCAGTAGTAAATGTAATAGTAGTAAGGGTGGTAGTAGCAGCAGTAGTAAAGGTTGTAGTAGTAGTAGTCGCAAAGTTTGTAGTAGTTGTAGTAGCAGTAGTCTTAAATGTACTACTAGTAATAAATGTAATGGTAGTAGTAGTAGTAGTAGTAGTAGTAGTAGTAGTAGCAATAGTCTTAAAAGTACTAGTAGTAATTGTAGCTGCCAACACTTGCCCTGTGCAAGGTTATGTATTGTCGTGGTAGTTAGGAGCTTGTATTTTTTAGTAGTATCCTAGTTGTATTTGTAATTGTAGCAACAGTGGTGGCATTTGTATGAGTTGTAATGGGAGTAGTAGTAATCATAGTAGTAGTAGAAATGTTGTAGTAGTAGTCATAGTAGTAGTAGCATGGTGGCCCTCTTACTTCCCAACACGATGTAGTCCAGTTCTATTCCTGGCTCTTTTTGGAGAGTTAATTTCTCTGACAAGGTATTCCTAAAGTATGCCCTAAAGTATGCACTAGTAAAAGTCATATATTGGTCATAAAAGCCGTAGTTCAAGCAGTGTAACCATTGTTTGTACACAGTAGTAATAGTAGTACACACTATTATAGCAAATCGAACCAATTCTACTTTTATATAGTTATTCACCACAAATATTTCCTTTTATTACAATATTCATTTCTCTACATACAAAATACTGTGTTTAAGGAAGTAGCGATACAGATAAGTATGTGTGATGAGATAAGTTAGTTTTCTCAAATACTGTTGGCTATTTCTAATTGAATATTTATTGCGGTGGCATACGTTTTTGTGCAACTTTTTTATTTCTCGCAGATACCAGCAGCTGTCTCTCCCATATGCAAAATGTTTAAATTGGACTAACAATATGGCATTGCTCAAATTCACTGACAGGTTTTGTGAAAGTAAGTTGGCTTTATTTTAAAGTATTGTTTTTTAGAAGCAGAGATAAGTATATTTTCACCGCTTTTTATGCAGTGTGCGTATATGTTTTATCGTGAATTTATCCTTTCTGGACCTCATAAGACTATTGACCACTTTTGGAAGCTATTGGGGATCCAAATAAATAATAAATATAATCGGTGATTCTTTTTTAGGGTAAAAAAAAAAGGGTATCCCCGACGTGGCAGGGACATAAAAATCCATCCAAAAGTCGATCCACGCCCTTACATTGAAGTGTGACCAAAATAGTGAAAAGGCCGTTAATTACAACCTGCTGTGTAACCACCAGTACATCTATTTGTACAATTCAGTAACACATAAAATGTCACTTAAAACTTTGACTGGAGAGAAAAACAAATTCATTTCAGATGAGTTAGAATAGCTCAAAATTGCTCTTAAAATTGTGCCATCTTCTTGTCTCCTTTGATATACTATTATGGAAATGTTATTCAGTCAAAAGTATTTACAGTGCATCACAGATTTTGTGTAATAGTTATGTTTCTTGAGCTTATTTGTAACTTATTATATTATTTAGTATAGTATAGTAGTTAATTCAAGCAGAAACAACAATTTAATTTTTTACATTACACATTTTTGATTTGAATACTTTATTGTGAGCCGTACAAAAATATGTCATTACATTACATTCTGCCCCATACAGAATGCGCTGTAAAAACATGGAAAATTAATAGGACCAAATATATTATTATTATTATTATTATTTCTATAAAAAAAGGGTTTGGCTCAAAAAGGAGTGAGAATAAAAAAACGTTCCCTCATTTCTTTACTGAACTAAGTAATGTTTTTCTTAAATATATGTGTGAATGTATACAGAAATATGGCTGGATATGTAACAATTGTAAATACATTAGTCATGCACAGGAGTTTGTTGTGGCATGTTAATTATTTTGGCTGTCTTCCAGTAGTTATCTTGTCTCAATGTTCCAGAGAAGCAAACTGGTTTAAAATATTTGTTACGACAGAGATGCATTGTTTGTCGATGCCATTCTGTCACTTTGTACGTGTGATTTTGTTCTACATTTTTGATTGGAGGATTTATTTATTTTTGAAATGTGATATATGATTGTGCACAGGCAGAAGAAATCACTTAAAGCTACGGTGCATCACTTTTTGTTTGTAAAAGGCAACAGTGAGTTTAAGAGAAAGAACAAATCCTTTCTCCTAAACTCATGATCGGTGTCTCTCAATTTTGATGTTGACAATTGAGATTGCTTAAAAAAAAACGATTCAAAAATCAATCTTTCGATTTTTGGAACAGCCCAAAGTGATTCCTTCAGAAAATTAGCAGCAGTACTATTTTTTTCCTGGCGCAGTTGTATGTACTATGTCACTGCCAGAAGGGCCTGGGCTTGATTATGGAACTGTGCACATCCCTTTTCTATTTGAAAACTCACCATTCGAGCTGAAAATATGCACAAAAAGACACCCTTATGTACTTTTCCTTTTCAAACTGAAAGGCAAAAGCAAATCCACAATTTACCTACTACGAATGTGACTGGCATCCTACACTGACCGCCCCAGTCTCTTTAAATCTGGGGTATTTCCCATTTTGATTCATTAAAAAAGAAGTAATAGGTTTTGTAAAAATAAAACGTTGTCAAATCAGTCCTCAACCTGCTTATGAGTACACATAAATAGAGCCCTAGGAGGCAGTATTTGACACTTTGGCTAAGAGCTGATTGGCTGAGTGAAGACAAGAACACAAGATGGCGCCTCGTACGGTCGACATGGCTCTTTGCTGCTCACTTTTTCTTTTGTTTTTACTTTTTAACTGTGCATCTGGCTGTTCCTACACCCGTGAGGAACTTATGAACATCCGACCCACCGTTCCCATGGACCTATTGCCTGTTTTCTTGGCATCTGCGGCTGATTTAGTTCATGTTCTAGCCAAAAAAGTGTGGGCCCGTAAAAGGGGAAAGCGAGGAGGCCTGCTCGTGCGTCTTAGGAGGAGAGGAGCGCGCACGGCTCTCCCCGGCATTTTTCTCTCCAACGTACGCTCGCTGGGCAATAAGATGGACGAACTCAGCCTGCTCATGAGAAGAAACAAGGACTTCGCCACATCCTGTGTCCTCTGCTTCACTGAGACCTGGCTAAATGAGCGGATCCCGGACTGCGCTCTGGAGCTGCAGGGCTTTGGGCTGTTTCGCGCGGATCGCCATTGTGCGCTCTCAGGGAAGAGCAGAGGCGGAGGGCTCTGTTTCTACGTCAATACAAACTGGTGTAACGATGTGACAGTGATCTCCAAGCACTGCTCTCCTGCTCTGGAATATCTTTTCATTCATTGTAAACCATATTACTCCCCGCGGGAAATTGTTTCATTCATTCTTGCCTCTGTTTACATACCGCCATGCGCGGACGCGCGCGAGGCTCAGCGCGCACTCGCAGAGCAAGTACTGTGTATGGAACGCTTATACCCGGACTCTCTGATTATTATCCTGGGGGATTTTAATAAGGGAAACTTGAGCCAGGAATTACCCAAATACAGACAGTTTATCAAATGCCCGACCAGAGAGGAGAACACTTTGGATCACTGTTACACCACCGTGCGCGGAGCTTTTCGCGCTGTTCCCAAGCCAGCCCTCGGCTTCTCAGATCACTCCATGATACATCTGGTTCCTGCTTACAGACAGAGACTAAAGCTCTCGAAACCTGCAATGAGGAGCTCCAAAGTGTGGTCTGATGAAGCTGTGGAAGAGCTGCGCGCATGCATGGAATCTACAGACTGGGACCTTTTCAGAGCTGCCACAGATAGTTTGGATGAATATACGGACACTGTAACGTCATACATCCACTTCTGTGAGGATAGCATCATTCCAACAAGGACCAGGGTCATCTATAACAACGACAAACCCTGGTTCACTGCTAAACTCCGGCAGCTCAGGAAAGCAAAGGAGTCTGCTTTCAGGGAGGGGGACCGCAGCGGCTACAAAGCAGCTAAATATCAGTTCAGGAAAGAACTGAAAGCAGCCAAGTCCCGGCACAGAGAACGACTACAGGAGCAGTTTGGTAACAACGATACTGCTTCTGTCTGGAGGGGCCTACGGGAGATCACCAACTACAAACCCAAAGCCCCCCCCTGTGCTGATGACCACAAGCTAGCTGACGATCTGAACTTATTTTTCAGTCGCTTTGATGCTGCCCCTGACACCTCTCCCTCCCCCACCCCCCACTACTCTAACGACCCACCCATCAGCCCTGCCCCCAGCCTAACAATAGCCGCTAAAGAGATTAAACAACTCTTCCTGAGGCTGCACCCCCGCAAAGCTCCTGGCCCGGACCACGTGTCTCCGGCCACTCTGAGACACTGCGCCAGTGAGCTTACTCCTGTGTTCACGGACATTTTCAACTCCTCTCTGCAGTCCTGCCATGTCCCGGCCTGCTTCAAATCCTCCATCATTGTCCCCGTTCCGAAGAAGCCCAGGATCACAGGACTCAATGACTACAGACCTGTAGCACTTACGTCTGTCGTCATGAAGTCATTTGAACGCCTGGTTCTCTCCCATCTCAAGTCCCTCACCTCCCCCCTCCTGGACCCCCTGCAGTTCGCCTACAGAGCCAACAGATCTGTAGACGACGCCATTAACCTGGCCCTCCACCACATCCTACAGCACCTGGACTCCCCGGGGACCTACGCCAGGGTCCTGTTCGTGGACTTCAGCTCTGCCTTCAACACAATCCTGCCATCCCTGCTCCAGGACAAGCTCTCCCAGCTCAACGTGCCCGATTCCACCTGCAGGTGGATCACTGACTTCCTGACGGACAGGAAGCAGCGAGTGCGTCTGGGGAAGAATGTCTCGGACTCTCGGATTATAAATACAGGAGCCCCACAGGGCTGTGTTCTTTCTCCCCTGCTCTTCTCCCTGTACACCAACCACTGCACCTCCAGCCACGACTCCGTGAAGCTGATCAAGTTCGCGGACGACACCACCCTCATTGGACTCATCTCCAACAACGATGAGTCCGCCTACAGGAGGGAGGTGGACCGGCTGGTGTCCTGGTGCAGTGGTAACAACCTGGAGCTGAACGCCCAGAAGACAGTGGAGATGATTGTGGACTTCAGGAAGAGCACTGTCCCCCCGCCCCCACCCTCCGTGATGGACTCCCCCATCACCTCTGTGGAGTCCTTCCGTTTCCTGGGCACCACCATCACCCAGGACCTCAAGTGGGAGCCGACCATCAGCTCTCTCATCAAGAAGGCCCAGCAGAGGATGTACTTCCTGCGGCAGCTCAGGAAAGCCAAGCTGCCTGCACAGATGTTGGTGCAGTTCTACACGGCCATCATCGAGTCCATCCTCACCTCCTCCATCACCGTGTGGTTCGCTGGAGCCACAGTCAGGGACAAACAGAGACTACAGCGCATTGTGCGCTCTGCAGAGGAAGTGATCGGCCGCAGCCTTCCATCGCTGCAGGACCTGTACGTCGCCCGAGCTCGAGGCCGGGCTGGTCGTATCACAGCCGACCCCTCTCACCCTGCACATGGACTATTCCAACCACTCCCCTCAGGCAGGAGGCTGCGGTCCATCAGGACTAGAACCTCCCGCCACAAGAACAGTTTCTTCCCCTCTGCTGTTGGACTCTTGAACACTTCTTAACCTGTCCCCCCGCCCTTTATAAAGTCACTTTACTGCCCATCATACGTCACTTTACTTCACTGTACTGCTGTCACCTTACATTGTGTGCACCATGTGCACTTGTATATTGTAAATAGTAACTGTAACTCTATTTTAAATTTAAATTTATTCTTTAGAAGTGTTTTTTATTCTTATTTTTATTATCTCTTTTTGACTGTTGCACTGAGCCAAAGCAATTTCCAAGTCTGTGACCTCCCGTTACTTACGTTGGCAATAAAAATGATTCTGATTCTGATTCTGATTCTGATTCTGAAGGTGGTCCTCACTTTTTCACTTTTCTGTCTAAAAAAAGCTGATCCGAAGATGTGACGGAGGCCATGTGAAAACCAGAGGTAGACCTAGAGGTTGAGGGCAAGATCGAGAAACTACAGTAGTCACATGGATTTCAATGCATAGTTTGTACGTTTGGTGGTTTGAAAGTTACATACCCCAGCTTTAATATGAAGAGAAAATGTTGCTCACTATTTAGTAGTTTAGAGTTCAGTTCAATTCAATTCAATGCACTTTTGTATTGCCATAAATCACGACAATAGGTATCCCAAAGGAATTTACAAAGTTGTCAATTTGATTCAAGATTCAAGAATTATTTTAATTTTTTTGCGGTAAAACTGATTTTCCAACACAGATCAGAATCGTTGAAAAACAGAAAATGCAATGATACAACAAACAAAAAACACATAGAGCCATTGTACACTACAAAAAAAAAATAGAAAAAACATGTGGGCGGCACGGTGGCTGAGTGGATAGCACTCTCGCCTCTCAGCAAGAAGGTCCTGGGTTCAAATCCCGGTTGGACCAGGGCCTTTCTGAGTGGAGTTTGCATGTTCTCCCCGTGTCTGCGTAGGTTTCCTCCGGGTGCTCCGGTTTCCCCTACCACTAAAAATATGTACAATAGGTCTGGCATGTGCCTCCTGTACTGGCACCCCCACTCCCAAAAATAACAATTGTAAACTGCTTTGAGACTCCGATGTGCAGTGAAAAGGCGGTATATAAATAAAGATTACTACTTACTTACTACTATATATACAAATGAAAAGGAGTAGGTAGAAGTAAGACCTAACTCTGACCAATGTCCTTAAATGTTTATAGATGATCCTAAATGTCGTTAAATCTCCTGGATTGTCACCAATAGTTTAAAAAATGTGTGTCGTGCATTTACCGTTCACTCCAACATTATCACTCCTTCTCGACAAAGGAAACAGACCACATTTCCACAAGCCTCACACTTTTGCGGCGCTTGTCTGTCTCTGCGACTTTGTATTGTTGCAAAGTGAGCACAGGAGGCTGGTTGTTGACACCTCACCGTGCAGCCAAAACTTTGGAACCTTCCCACATGAATATGATAAGCTACAACCACCATAGACGCATCATAAAACCAAACGGGCCATTAACACTCACATTATTCCAGCATTTATTTTATCATCTCCCGTGCAATTACTAGACGAAACAGCTTGGAAATAATGTTGTCTTATCTTTTTTTTCTTTTTACATGCTTTGTGTGTCTGTGTCTTGCAGGGCGGCGGCTGAAGGGCGTGGGCCAGGCGAGGAATGGCGAGGAGGAGCAGACAGGAGCAGCTCAGTGGGGAGAGAGAGCGGAGAGGGCAGGTAGAAAAGACTTGGAGCCAGGAAGTAGTGCGGCATCCAGGCCCCAAAATGGTGAGAATTACTGCCAAACAACAAGATATTATGCTAATTGTTCCGGTGACACCATATGTTGCATAATTATTCTGCACAAGATTTTACAGTGGCGGCTCATACATTTATTCAAACTTAGAACATGACTAAACTGTACAATTAGTGCGATAGGAAACACAGGCTGTTTATCTGCGCTCTCTTGATCGCCTTGATAATTAGTGTGAGGATTACTTGGATTTGCTCCAGAGGTTCTCAAATGGTGGGGCAGGGACAAGCTCAGTGTGTGGTCCAGGGTGTATCAGTATTAGTATTGGGAAACAGATCTACAACCTGAATGTCATGGTGTTTTTCAGAATATAATTAGAAGGCACTGATCAGCCATATTCAGGGGTGACAGTTGCTCAGTTGATAGAGCACTGGTCTTTGGACCCAATGGTCGTGGGTTCAAGCCCACCATGACCCATGTCACCTGCTCCCACTGATGTCTGCCGTCGTTGTGTCCCTGGGCAAGACACTCAACCCCACATTGCCTGAAACCCCCGCTGAAAGACCAAGGCCATCTAGTCGATGACAAAGAAGCTATGGACCCATCACCTGCAGGAGGATCAGAGAGTATCAGAGAGTGCTATGAAACTTAATTCTATGAGTGCTATGAAACTTAATTAACCATTAATTCTGAAACACTTATTGACAACATATTTACAAACATAATCGAAACGACAGTTAATAGTGGCATCTTGATTAGTGACATAACAGACCACTTACCGATCTTTATGACATACAAAGGTGGTACTGACAATAAAAAAGTTCAAAAGGAGAGACAGCACAGAATAGAAAGAATACAAAATGAAGAGACAATAAATACATTAAGAAATGACCTACTGAATGAGACATGGAATGAAGTTTATGTACCAGAGGTGAATGCTGCATGTGAAGCCTTTCTAGACCAGTACAAGTGTCTGTATGACAACAACTGCCCAGAACGAATAAGGAAAGTGAAAGAAACACTTAAACCATGGCTGACAAGAGGACTGCTAAATGCATGTGCCAAGAAGAACAAGTTATATGAAGAGTCAATTAAATTTAGAACACAAGAAAGTAATAATAAATATAAAACTTATAAAAACAAATTGACAAGCATATTAAGGAAGGCAGAAAAAGATTATAATTCTAAAGCATTATTAGGAAGTCAGAATGATATGAAAGCTACATGGAAGATATTAAAACAAGTTATGGAAAAGAAGAAACCGAAGTCGACTATACCAAATTACTTACTAAATGATGAAAATAATCAAATAGATGTTAAAGATATGGCCAACGAGCTTAACTCGTACTTTGTAAATATAGGGCCAAAGCTTGCTGATAAAATTCAACAACCGGGAAATACATATTTAAAAACACAAGGCAGTAATATTTGTCACTCCATATATTTGGAAAAAGTCACTGAACCAGAAATTTTAAGAACAGTTGCAGAGTTTAAAAATAAGACATCGACAGATAGTGATGGGATAGATATGGCTATCATTAAAAAGACCATAGACTGCATAACCAAACCACTTTGCCATATTTTTAACCTGTCTTTCACTTCTGGACTTGTTCCTGATAGATTAAAAACATCAAAAGTAATTCCTGTATTCAAAACAGGGGACAAGCATTGTCTAACAAATTACAGACCCATTTCTTTAATTTCACAGGTTGCAAAAATTCTTGAAAAACTTTTTGTTCACAGATTAGATTCCTTTATAGAAAAAAACATGTTGATTAATGAGAACCAGTTTGGCTTCAGGAAAAAACGATCCACGGCTTTAGCACTACTGCAAATCACAGAGCACATAACAGCAGCACTAGAAAATAAACAAAGCACATTGGCAGTATTTGTTGACTTAAAAAAGGCATTTGACACAATTATCCATCCATCCATCCATTTTCTTCCGCTTTATCCGTTGCCGGGTCGCGGGGGCAGCAGTCTAAGCAGAGACGCCCAGACTTCCCTATCCACACACACTTCCTCCAGCTCGTCCGGGGGGACCCCAAGGCGTTCCCAGGCCAGCTGAGAGACATAGTCCCTCCAGCGTGTCCTAGGTCTTCCGCGGGGCCTCCTCCCGGTGGGACGTGCCCGGAACACCTCCCCAGGGAGGCGTCCAGGGGGCATCCGGAACAGATGCCCGAGCCACCTCAACTGGTTCCTCTCGACGTGGAGAAGCAGCGGCTCTACTCCGAGCTCCTCCCGTGTGACTGAGCTCCTCACCCTATCTCTAAGAGAGCGCCCAGCCACTCTGCGGAGGAAGCTCATTTCGACCGCTTATATCCGCGATCTCGTTCTTTCGGTCATTACCCACAGCTCATGACCATAGGTGAGGGAGGGGACGAAGATTGACCGGTAAATTGAGAGCTTTGCCTTTCGGCTCAACTCCCTCTTTACCACAACGGTCCGATACAGCGACCGCATCACTGCGCACGCTGCACCGACACAGCGTGTATATATAATATACTGTGATTAATTGACACAATTAATCACAGTATATTAAAAAAACTACAGTGGTATGGCATAAGAGGAGGGGTGGTAAATTGGGTTGAGAGCTATTTAGAAAATAGACAACAGTTTGTACAGTTTGCTGGCAACATTTCTAACAAACTAAATATTCAGTGTGGAATTCCCCAAGGTTCCATTCTCGGGCCAAAACTCTTTTATTTTTTATTTCAATGACTTATGTTCTGTCTCATCAAAACTCAAATCAGTCTTATTTGCAGATGACACAATTTTTTTTCTATCAGGAGATAATATAAAAAAATTAACAAGGACGACGGAAGAGGAAATGGCCAAAGTAAAAACATGGTTCGATGAGAATAAATTATCATTAAATATAAGCAAAACGAAATTCATGGTGTTTTCAAACAATAACAGTAACACAGACGTCCAGGTGTCAATAAATAGCACAAAAATTGAAAGAGTACAAGAAATAACATTTTTTGGAGTGACAATGGATGAGAAATTAAATTGGAAATCCCATGTAAACCAGGTAAAAAGAAAAATATCAAAACATATCTCGGTACTGCACAAAGTGAAACATTCACTTGATCATAAAGCCCTAAGGCTCCTGTACAGTACCCTGATACTGCCCCATTTCACCTACTGTGTAGAAGTCTGGGGAAACACATACAAACACACCATATATCCTCTAATCCTCTTACAAAAAAAAGCAGTGAGAATCATTCATAAAGTGGACTCAAGAGAACACAAAAACAACCTATTCATACAATCAAAACTGTTAAAACTAGAGGATCTGATCAAACTACAGTCACTCATTGTGATGTACAAAGCCAGAGACTCTCTGCTGCCAGCAGCTGTACAACAGCTCTTCTCTCTCAATATCAACCAGGACAGTAGAAGGAAGTTACACTTCTCGGTCCCTTTTGCCAGAACCACCCAGAAACACATGGGAATATCAGTGGTCGGAGTAAAACTATGGAATCAACTTGACTATGAAATAAAAAAATTCCACATGTTTAAGAAAAAAATCAAAGCAACAACAGTGAAATCGTACGAAATGAATGATTAGAAAAAAACAATAAAAAACAAAGAATTATGAAAACAAAAACACATCAAATAAAAACAGTTTGAAGAAGTGCTAAAGGCCATCTTATTTTTTTATTTTTTACATTTTTTTAAATTTAATTTGTACATGTATGAAGAAAGGGGCAGGCAACATAAGATTTTTTTTTCTTCTTTCTGCTCCTTTTCATTTGTGAGACAAGACGACAATTATTTGAAATGTAATTGTAATATGTGTAGTATTGTTTTTGTCTACAATTGAAACAAATAAATAAATAAATAAATAAACTTGGGTGGCAAATCTGATTCCCCCCCCCCCCCGACCCAGAAATTGATTAATAAAGGTGTAGAAAATGACATGCCATAATGTCTAGTTGCTCCTTGTTTTAAATAGATAATAGTTCAATCCTTCACCAGAGTTTGGATTACAAAAAAACGTCTTTAATTTTACTTGGATGTTAGATTAAATTACAATGGGTGGATTAATTGTAGACTATTTACCTGGTTAAAAGATAAAGAGGTCTACACTTCTGGGAAAGTCCCAAGACTGGATAATGCGATTATTAAAGGAGACATATTATACAAACTTAACTTTTTTAACCATGTTATAACATTGTACCTCAGATCTGGAGTTAATTTCAGATCCATCCACTCTAATATCAGGAACTTCTGGCACAAGCATGTAACTGCTTAACAGTCCTGTAATAATATGATCTAATTGTAAGGCAAGGCAAGGCATGTTCTGTTTAAACAGCACAGTTCATACACAAGGCAACTTACAGTGCTTGTAGTATGATGACATCACCAAACAGAAGTAGTGTCCATACATGAGTCTTGGCAATTTCTCTGGTGTTTTTTTACAATCTAATTTGACGCCTCTCTCTGGTGGTAGCATAGGGAGCTACAGGCGGGAAACATGTTTTACCCTTAATCCTGGTATCATCATATGATTTCCATTTAAGATCATTGTTCACATTTTAAAAACATGACAAGACAAAGTAAATAGTTTTATTATCATTGTAATGGCCAAAAATGATACACCACATGTATTCTTTAAACAAGGTTGTTAGTTTGACTTTGACTAAACATAAACTAATGTGCGTAAAAGTCCAATACTCTTTTTTCATATAGCACAATTTCTGAAAGTTTCCAAAGTAACAGACAAAAGTAACACATTTACACATACAAGTCTGCCAGCTTTAAAAATATAATCAAAACCAAAGATAAAAAGTCTCAACCCTACAGTATTGATACATTTTCTTCTGAAGGTGGCAACAGAACGAGCTTTACACCGTACAGTGGTCACAACCTGATTCAATGGAGTTTCAACATTTGTGTTTAATTACAAAACTATTTTAGGTATCTTACTGTTAGTTCATGTTCCTCTGTTCAGCTGTGATCATGAACACGACCAGAGCCTGTGCCTCTTTCTAAAGTTCACCAAACTAAAACAGCAAATGAAAACATTGTGTCCAATGTTGTTGTAATTATGAATACATCAGCATAACCATTTGTGAAGAACATATTTGATTGATGATGTGCTCCTCATTCACGTAGACACGACTGGGTCCTTTTTAAAAGATTCAAACTCAAAATGTTACAAACTGATACATTTTTGTATCTTTTACTGAGTGAACACAGTGTCTTGGCAAATATATTCCCACACGACTTAAGGTTTATATACTGGCAGAACAGGCCCCAGAATTTTGGTAAAATCAATTACACAGCCCTAAAGTAATGTTTCTGTACATATTTGCATATTTTAGACTTCTGCTGAAGCCACAACACTTTATTTCTATATTGAGTAATGTGAAATGTGTTATTTTCCATGGTTGGTTATTTTCCACAAAGTTTAATTCTCAAAATGTTTTATATGGTTGTCTTTTACTGACTTTTAAGTTTGACTTTCCTTGGCTATGGCACACAAATTTGGCATTGTCACACAACTGGCAAAACAATGTGCTTAGTTTGGAATAAAAATTAGATTATATGTTTGGACTATTTAATTCAGAGTCTAATCTGATGTGTCATGTCTGATAGCTTTATGTACTGTAAGAGCAGAGGAAATGTTCATGTGTCCAGCACTTTTCCAGACAGGATTTCTGGTTTCTGCACAAGTTTCCACAGTCAGTGTCTCTCAGGAGCCTCTTAACAATTGTAAACCGCTTCGTGACTCTGGTCTGTGAAAGGCGGTATATAAATAAAGATTACTTACGTACTTACTTACTTACTTATGGAAGAGAACCATCACAGTCTGCAGGTCACACTACCCTCACGGACACGCACACTACTGTACGACCTGTGTGAGAAGTGGGTGGCCAGAAAGGGAGAAAGCATTTGTAAACATTCTTAAATGCCATATTGGTGACACATTTTCCAAATAGTTTTTACTTCCTCTGACACTGTAAAAAAATGTCCCTAAGGCAGGGGTCTCAGCTCAGAGTGAAGTTTGTCTCCCCGTGTCTGCATAGGTTTCCTCTGGGTGCTCCGGTTTCCCCTACCACTTAATGCAATAGTTCAGGGTGAATGAGCGCATGTGAATGTGAGTCAACGGATGCAAATCAGCCCAAGGTGTGTTCATTAACATGCACTGTCCCAACCAAATAAAAACGATAAATATGACATGTCACGGTCGTTGTTGCGTTTGGAATCATTTGGGGGAAACAGGTTTTACACATGTTTGAGAATATACTCTATATATATATATAGATTTCTGTTAACTCACTTAGCAAATCGTGAAGACTAGAAAACTGGATGTAAAGATGCAAATCTTTAGGATTCGGGAAACTGTCTCTTGAGTTCAGTGCATTTGGAGGATTTGTCAATGGCACAAGCAGCTATCTTTCAGGCTGTTGTCGGGCAGACACATTATTTTCTCATTCCCAACGAGACATCTCATCTTTTTCATAATTTATGTAAACTGTCAAAATGTGTTGCACAACACAGGTTTGACTACAAGAATTTAGTGAGAAGATAAAAACTGCTTAATTTAAGCATTTTGCAGTGAATAATTTATGTCTGCTGGAAAAAAGGTGGTTGCACTATACAGTAGGTTAGAACTCTATAAACTAATTCTGAAATGTGGCAATTCTGTACAAGCTGAACACTACATATGCACGCTTTTCAAATGGAACTCACTTGAAGTTGTTATTATTAAATTGTTAAGTCTTCTTCATCATGCTTACGTTGGAGATTTTAGACCTCTTTCCTTATTTTGCTAAATAAAGAGCTTTTTTACTGCTTCTTTTTATGCCGGCGTTAGAGATGTTTATTTTATTTTATTCTATATTTTGTAATAGTATAGATTTATTATTAATTTATCTTGTGCTGTGTGTTCCTCTTTCCTACTGTCTGTAACTTGTGCAGCAACACTGACATTTCCCGACTGTGGGACAATTAAAAGACGCTTAAATCTTAATCTTAGTCTTAAAACCCCAGAATGAGATAATTTGCTAAAATCCTGTGTCCCGAGTGTACATAGAGTGTTTTAGTGTACAATATAGACAGTAATACATGTGACTGGTGTGTGGTGTGCAGGCTCGTCCATGGGCATCCCTCCGTCCCTGCGCTCCTGCCTCTCGCTGCTCACGGTGCTCCAGAGCATAGAGCCGGCCGTGGTCAACGCCGGACACGACAACGCCCAGCCAGACAGCTCCTCGGCTCTGCTCACCAGCCTCAATGAGCTGGGAGAACGCCAACTGGTCACCGTGGTGCGCTGGGCCAAAGCCATACCAGGTACAACACATGCGGCATATATCACTTGGATAACATTTTATTCATTCATATAACAGATTAATTTCTTTATCATTTTGATAAAATACTGCATATTTCTTTGTTGGAGGAGCAGTATGTAAAATTCTGGCCAAAGGTGGTACTGTAACCTCTCCTACTCTCCCTGACTCAGCTTGCCAGATATGCAGACAAATCCAGCTGGGACCATAATATCTGAATAGACAAGATTTTTGTCAACAACAAATCTATAACCAACACCTTTTTCAAAAAGGCCTCTATAGAAATTCTTGTTGTATTCCTTGTTTTGTTAATGATTTGAGAATTAGCTCGACGTGGTGAGTTCTGGCAACCCGGATCACAGACTTTCTGATTGGTTAAACAGTGGAGGGCGGGACATTAATATGAAAACAATAACAAGATAGGGGCTGTAAAACTAATTTTGAAATTCAAATATATGTTCAAGAATATGTTTTGTTTATGCCTTCTGACCTATTATAGAGCCATTTAATGATGACTTGACATGAAAATCTTACATATTGCTACTTTAGAGGTTCCCATAATTTCGGAAAGAACAGCCCCCTCTTCACTTTTTGAACTAAACTCTCTGGTGTCATTTGACAAGCATGTATCACCAGAATGATTGACAGTTGGGAGGATTAGTCTTTATGATACACCCAGAAGTAGAGAATCCTCCTATATATATTTGTTAATTTTCTCAAGTTGAAGTACCGCACTTGTTTAAAGCTCCGGTAACCACCTTTCAATCCACAATTAACTAATGTAATACCATCCATCCATCCATTTTTTTCTTCCCCTCAATCCATTTCTGGGTTGGGGGGGTGGCCAGAGATGCCACCCAGTACACAGAGCACCAGCCCCTCACTGATCCTCCTGCAGGTGGTGAGTCCACAGGAGCTGAGATCTTTCAGTGGGAGCTTCAGGCAAAGTGGGAGTCGTGAAGTAGGTCTTACGGTGGGCTCGAACCCACGACCTTCAGGCTCAAAGGCCAATGCTCTACCAACTGAGCTACTGTTGCCCCACACTTTATCTAACTATTTATTTTCTGTTAAAACAGTTTGGTTCTATTTGGCCTATGTCACATCTTTAGATCAGCTTCTTCATATATACTGTAGCTGGCAAACCTGTATATTTGAATGCGTTACTTTTATCTCTGCAAATTGTTTCATAAAATGTGCTATATAAATAAAGTGGATTGGATTGGATTTTCAGGCATACTTAGGGACGTATCTTACCTAAGTATGCAAAAGATCGGATGTTTTCTAATAGGCAAGGCAAGTTTATTTGCATTGCACAGTTCATGCACAAGGCAACTCAACGTTCTTAACAAAACAAGACAAATGATAAGATGAAGACGCCAAGTTGTTGAAAAGTAAAGTCCCCCAGCTTTAACCAACATAACTCAATTTAGATGTAGATAGTAAAATAATAATAATAATAATAATGGATCTGTTTTATATATTGCTTTTTTGACTCTCAAAGACGCTTCACATGACATTATTCATTCACTCCATACAAGGTGGTGATAAACTACTACTGTAGCCTCAGCTGCCCTGGGGCACACTGACAGAAGCGAGGCAACCACTATGTGCCCCTACGACCACCATCAACCATTTACTCACACCAGACTAATTCTAGGCAATGGGGGTGAAGTGTCTTGCCGAAGGACACAATGGCAGTTTGGCACTTTACAGTTACAGCTACAGCCGCCCCACTGTGCCATCAGGTGTTCCCAGACACTTGCCAAGGACACAACGACAGCAGACAATGGGAGTCGATGGTGAAAGTCATGAGGTGGGCTCGAACCCACGACCTTCTGGCTCAAGGCCAAGAAGGTCATCAGCTACTGTCGCCCCTACTGATGAGAAGTAGTTATAATAATTATACATGTAATTATTCTTTTCACTTTCACAAAATCGCATATGTGTCGGCTTGCTCTATAGCATCTTTGGATAAGCTTTTTCAGACAGAAAAGTGAAAAATTAGGACCCTTACTCAAACAATCAGCTCAGAGCCCAAACTGTCAAATAGCAACTCCTAGGGGTATTTTTTTCACATTCACATAGATCAACATGTGTTTTGTCAACGTGTGGATGTGTCAGAGTTAGCTATGTAGGCAAATTTTCATCCATAGTCCCATGGCAGGTTGATGCTTTATTATCCTTCTTCCCAAAAGATAAACGTATGCAAAACGACAGGATGTTTTCCAATAGACAAGGCACGATTATTTGTACAATAAAACAGTAACAGTTCAGTTATCTTCATAATCAAGTCAAACTGTCAAAGCTGAGTTTATGCAGAGGCAAACATGTACATGGCAAAACTTGTTCTCGGTGTGAAGTAAGGAGTGTCTCTAACAGAAGTGGAAGTAACAAACTCTCAAAGGCAGATTAGTTTGGAGTTTCCAAAAATAGACCTCCTTCTGAAGTAGGTTTTTTTTCATTTTAGGAGATAAAAGGAAAGGTCGGATATTAATACAAAATCTAAAATACCTGAGGTTAGACAGAATGTACCAGAATAAAAGTAAAAATGATAAAAGTAAAAAAAGTAAAAAGTAAAATAAATGCATTATATGTATTGTAAGGATTCACAATAATTAAAGATGTAGTCAGTAATTTTTTCCAGACGCATTTATTTAAATATTGGGGGAAAACGGCCCTAAACCCTAAAAGTAGTCAAGTAATCATGTGTTTTCAAATAGTAGCTATAGTCTCCAAAAATTAATAACAATATTTTGGAGTGGACCGATAAAAATGAACCAATAGGATTCGTTCATCCCCAACGAACCAATGGGATGCGTTTACCCCTTTACCCTCTTCCTGATTCTCGCAAGTGTGCGCACCTGAGTTATCGGATTAATTTCTAAAACCTAAAAGGGCGGAACAGAAAAGGCTGAAATTGGCCTTTTCTGTAAAAGAAAAGAAAATGCTGGATGTTTGGTTTGGTGGAGAGGCGAGGGGAGTGGGGAGTGGTTTCAAGTTGGTGCTACGGCTAAGCTAACAAAATCGCTAACTGTATCTTTACTTGTATCTGGTTGCCTCGCTTCTGTCAGTGTGCCCCACGGCAGCTGTGGCTACAGTAGTAGTTTATCACCACCGTGTATGGAGTGAATGAATAATGACATGTGAAGCGTCTTTGAGTGTCCAGAGAAGCGCTATATAAAACCGATGCATTATTATTATTGTTTAACTTGGCCAGGGGTTCTCCAACCTTTTTCAATCAGAGAGCTACAAGGGGCAGAGAGCTACTCCTTTTTTTCAGTTGTAGTACAAATCTATGCAATACCTAAGACAAGAGAGAACACATGTAAATATACTATAATACTGTATAACCTTACATTGTTTAATTATAATAGATATATCACGACTCAAATGTTTTCGTTTAGGATCATGTTTAAATTCTAAATCCTTTGGGGAGCGACCTGAAAGGGGCTGGTGAGCTACAGGTGGCTCCCAAGCTAAAGGTTGGAGACCCCTGAACTAGGCTTTCTTAAGCACTTGGTCACAAACTCAATCAGTTTTAGTTGGTTTCACAGGAACGGAGACTGAAAATGTTCCAAAAGACAAAAAAGACAAAAGACACAAAATGCAATTGTGTGTTATTGTGTCGATTCTTCAGGTCAAGAGCAAATTGTTACATCGGTATGACGTGAGAATGGCTGTAAATCATGAAAAACGATATTGTGAAGAGGACACATTTTAACACAGTCATAATTGGGATGATTTCAAAGCAGATTTGCAATAAACAATCAATAATCTGCTAATTTGAGAGTGCAATGCTTTCTCTTAGTGATATTTTCCATTTTTCTTTAAAATTGTATCTGCCCCGCCAAATAATACAAGATCACTTCCACTTTTTGTTTTTGCAATGGCCATGTGTTGTTACCTAATCTAAGTGTTGATTATACGTTTAGGCTTCATTCTACTGCATTCAATAACCAATATTCAGGAAAGGACAAAATATAATGATTCTCTAAACCAAGGGTGTCCAAACTATTTAGTAAGGAAGCCACTTTAGTTCATCAGACTTGTCCAGGGGGCCGACAATATTTATTTTAAAACTGCTTTTACTCTATTCTGGGCTTTCAAATTGGGAATGATTCGTCCAGATTAACAATTATCACTATATACAAATGAAGTAAATGGCTGAATTCCAAAGGTTCTGAGCCTTACGATGTCAGAATCGGAAAACAGCTGAAGTTGGCTGGATGACCCAATGAAAGTACCTGTGTTAGCGAGGCAGATGGCCACAAAAAAGGACACGGTGGGCCGCATTAATTTGGTATTAAATGTATTACTTTTACTCCAAATGACCAATCAGCTTCAAATTGGTCATTATTTGTGATATCTGTGATTCAAAACATAACTTTTGTTGAATTGGGACTTGGAGATAAAAAAAAAATATACATGTCAGGGTTAATTATTCCTGGTTTTAATTTATTTTTGGCTTTTTTGTTCATTCAAATGGTTTTTTAAGGTAGTCACCGGTAACATAACAGCAGCATCATCAAACAACACAACACAGTTTAAGAGAAAATACTTCACAAATGCCGACATTCATGTGAAACTGGTCTTTTCAGTTTTTCTCTTTTGCTTTACAACCAAATGATTGAGTTAAAACAAAAAAAAATCCTGCTAGAATTAAGAATGAAAATGGGTTAGGGGTTTTTTGTTTGTGTTTTATGTATTCATTATAGAGATGGAGTTTAATGCCCAAATGTGTAACTTTCCAAACAGAACACGAGGATGTAGAGTCAAGCAGGTGACAGCTATTTTTTGCTGTTTTTATTCCTAAATGATCAACTCTGTCCTCTATAAGCCTTCAGTTATTATACATGATAATTCATAGTACATATGCAATGGTTGGTGGTTCATTCAATATTAACCATCACTAAGAACTTAAAGGTACACTCTTGCATTTTTACTGTTGTTAGAAAATGATAAAAACATGTTAACCAATCACAAATGTGACCTTTTTGAGAATAT